TCCTTGAAGCTTAAAGAATATAAATCAACTCTTGATTTTTGAAATCCATCTGAAAAATGTGATGTATATAATTGAATGTACTTACATGCATTTGAACTAACCAGTTAGTACAGGCCAGTATTATTGGTATTTGATTCATGTAATGAAATAACCAACTCGTGGGCTGTGTTATACTGTAGAGTGTTACCAAATCCTCTGTCCCTGATCTAATGAAGGTGTAATTAAGAACTGTCTTTGTAATGTGAACACACTCATAGTTGGATGATATTATATATAATGAGTTCTCCCCACTGCTCTCCTCCCTTTACAGCAATGACTGTACCTCAGGGGGACCCCTCTGAAATTTGCAGATGGCACAACAGTCTCATCCAGGATGTGACAAGTCTGTGTACAGACAGGAAGTTGAACAACCGGCCTTGTGGTGTGGTCACAACAATCTGGAGCTGAACACGTTCAAAACAGTGGCGATGACAGTGAACTTCAGGAAGTGCCCCCTCACTTTAACCCCCTTCACTATACTCAGCAGCACTGTATCAACAGTAGAAACCCACAGGTTTTTGGACTCCATAATCTGCCAAAACCTGAAGTGAATGTCCAACATCAGCACAATCATCAAGAATGCACTTCCTGCACCATTTCAGGAAATTCAACCTTCCCCAGGAACTGCTGATAGTTGTACTTTGGAATCATTGAGTTTGTTCTCTGCACTTCCATTACTGTCTGGTTTGGTTCTGCAACCCAACAGGACAGACATGGCCAGTAAACTTTTACTCATTTGTACAACCCCAAATTAGAAAAAGTTGGGATGGTATGCAAATTCAAAATTAAAACTGAAATTAGTTTTTTTTGTAAATTTTCTGTGTCCTCAGCACATTATTTGATGTGAGACCTCATCAATGTTATTCTCTGTTAAAACTACACACTCATTTCAATTGATGCTTTCAATTGACACATTCCAAAAAGTTGGAATAGTTGCATTTAAGGGTTAGTATTTAGGTAAAACAATGAAATGATGATTCCATTTGAAACAGGTGATGTCAACAGGTGAGTGCAATCATGATTTGGTACAGAAGTGGCGTCCAGGAAAGGCAGGTGCAAAGATGGGCTGAGGATTGCCAGTTTTCAAAGCAGCACTGTAGTTCTGACTTAGCCTGATCAGTCCATCTCTTCACTGTTGTGACCACAGGCTTTGCGGTTCAATGTTAAAAAAAAATGTTCCTCAGAGAAAGATAGGAAGGGATATGGATGTGTCACCCTCTACGGTGCATAACATAATTAAAAGATTCGAGGAATCTGCAGGGATTTCAGTGCATAAAGGGCAAGGGTACAAGCCTAAACTGGATGACTGCAGATTTTGTCATCAATGACCCAGGACTGTTACGCACCTTAAGAGACTTCTTTTCAGGAGGATTGGGACATAATTACACCTGTAAAACAACCCTGGCTCAAGGATGACACACATGGAGACAATCAACTACTGAAATGTATAACAGTAGCCACTGAAAGTAGGTGCTTAGAAGTAAACTCGATGGAAGTAAAGAAGAAACAAGAGGGGATTTTATTTTGTTTGTGAGGGTGAAAAAGGCATGAAGCATTTCATTTTAAAAAGGCAGGATGCAGATGAGCTAAAGGCAGGGAGAGATTGGCAAATGAAAGAAGATTTAAGGAATCTGCTCATAAATCCTGAGGAGATAGTCAGTGTTAACCTCAGAGCAGACCTTGTGTTGTGGTCAGAACCACAGTGGACAATGTATTATGTTGAGCTTACACTTCCCTGGGAGGACACTGTAGACCGATCAGCTCTGTAAACCTGGAAGCCCGGAATTTGGACTGCGCTGTCCATGATGGAGTCACTGAGCCAAATCTCCGTGAAGCATAAAGCAGCAGAGCATGCAAAGTCATAGTTAGTCCTGTTAACGAGAAGAAGTTCATCCATCTTGTTTGCTAGAGAGCGGACATTCACTAGGTGGATAGATGGGAGTGGTTTATGGGTCCCTCTCTGGTGTAGCTTAACCAGAGCCCCCACTCTCTTTCCTCGCTGGAGTTTTCTCCAGGTCCCATAAAGCACAGCTGCACCTCCGATCAGAATGTCCACACAGCATTTTTCATTCACAAAAATTGGACAAAGGTAGTTTGGTGCGAGTTGTCCGATGTTTAACAGTTCTTCTCGTGTAAAAGTAATCCGAGATGGGTTGCAAAAGACTGATAAAACAAGGAAAAACAAACACAGGAGAGCACGCTTAACCAAGGAAGCCATAGTTGTCAGCGCCATCTTAGAAAAAATGTTCACGGCCCTGGGGAAAAAGCTCTCCTTACTCTGGAGGTTTGAGTTCGAGCCTCCTAAGGGAAAAAAGCCTTTGCTGGGCCTTCTTTACCAGGTGAGAGGTGTTCAGTGTCCATGTAAGGTCAATGGTAATGTGGATACCCAGGAACTTGATGTTCTCATCTTGCTCTACTTTCTCCCCATGTATGAGGAGGGGAGCATGAGCAATCTTCCTGGATCTCCTGTAGTCCACAATGACCTCCTTAGTTTTGCTAGTGTTCAGGGCCAGGTTGCTCTCTGAACACCACTCAGTCAGGTGCTGGAACTCCTCTCTGTAGTGAGTCTCGTCATTGTCTGATAAGAGACCCACTATGGTGGTATCATTTGCAAACTTCACAACGAGATTTGAAGTGTGGATGGCAGTGCAGTTGTGTGTGAACAAGATATAAAGGATGGGGCTGAGCACACAACCCTGCAGCGTACCTGTGTTCATAACCAGTTTAGCTGATAAATGTCTGCCTATTCTGACCACCTGAGACCTATTGGTCAGAAAGTCCTGGATCCAGGAGCACAGTGATGTGGACAGTCCCAAACTGTGGCGCTTCTGAACCAGTTTATAAGGGATTACTGTGTTAAATGAAATCGATGAATAGCATCCTAACATATGTGTTGCGATGCTCCAGATGGGACAGGGTTGTATGAAGTGCAATGAAGACTTTGGTCTTCAGTGGATCTGTTACTCCTATAGGCAAACGGATGGCTGTCCAAACCAACAGGAACCTTGTCAATAATGTGCTTCAAGGTGATCCTCTCAAAGCACTTTATGATTACTGGGGGTCAATGCAACAGGGCGGTAATGGTTAAGGCAGGTGACAGCTGATTTCTTGGGCACAGGAACAATAATAGATGATTTGAGGCAGGCAGGGACTGTGGCATGATGTAGGGACAGATTGAAAATATCCAAGAAAACCTCTGCCAATTGGTCTGGACACGACTTGAGTGTCCAACCACACACCCTGTCCAGTCCAGCAGCCTTATTGATGTTTATTTTCCTCAGTGCAGATTTTACCTGATGACATTGGAGGTTAAGAAGCTGTTGCTCCAGCGATGGGTTGTCTCTCTGCTGCCTGGTGTTTCAGAGCATGCAAAGAAATGGTTCGGGGTGTCAGGAAGAGGCTGAACTGGCTGACCTGCTGGTTGCCACCCTTATTGTCTTAATGCCTCTCCACATATTCTGAGAATTGTTAGTGTCAATGTGCTCCCTGATGTGCTGCTTGTACTGGTGTTTAGCCAGCTGAATGCCCTTTTTCAGCTCTTTCTGGGCTTTACTATAAGCCAGCCTGTCACCTGACCTATAGGCAGCATCTTGGGCCTTAAGCAGAGTCTGCACAGTATTGTCCCACCATGGTTTCTGATTTGGATAAACCTTGATGGTTTTTGTGGGTATAAAATTATCTGTACAAAAGTATATATACGCCAAGACAGATGATGTGTATTCCTCCGGATCAGCACTCTCCTTAAACAGCTTTGTATGCTTGTATGCAAATAGAAACTTGGTCCAAAATATTATTGTCTCTAGTAGGAAAGCTAATGTACTTGTGAAATCGGGGCAACACTGCTTTTAGCTCCACATGACTTAAGTCTCCTACCATGATCACAGGCTCCTCTGGATAGGCATTCAACTGACTGTTAATGGTGCAGTACAGCTCCTCCAGTGCTAGCTTGGCATTAGCCTGTGGTGGTATAGGGTTTCCATCCATCCATCCATCCATTTTCCTCTGCTTATCCGGGACCGGATTGCGGGGGCAGCAGTCTAAGCAAAGATGCCCAGACTTCCCTCTCTTCAGACACTTCCTCCAGCTCCTCCGGGGGAATGCTGAGGCGTTCCCAGGCCAGCCGAGAGACATAGTCCCTCCAGCGTGTCCTGGGTCTTCCCCAGGGCCTCCATTCATTTTAAAATACCATAATGCTTTGTAAAATTTTTGAAAAAATATTAAAGAAATACTAATAATGACAAAACTGTTGCAGTAACTTAAATCTTAGAATATAACTGTAGATCTGAAGAAAAGTAAATAACTAGTTATTTCACACACGTCAGCGCGCAAATGTGTGTAAGTGTGCTCTTGAGTGTGCCTAGATTCTGTTCCTACCAAAGAACAAATCCCAGATAAGAAAACATTGGTGAATGCCAGTGTCTGCAAAAACAGCCCAGGAAACACAGGCCATAACAGCAGTGCAGTGACTTTTTATTCATAGAGGTTTTATTGCACACATACTACTGAGTAATGTTTCACTTGACCCAATTGTGAGGAAAACATGCTCGCACTTTGGAGCGCTGAAGGGGTGCGCTGAATTTAAAACAAGTGCATGATTGCAAAACACAGTTTTTTTATCTTGATTATTTTGTTTTCATAATGATTGGATGCACAAATCATAATTGAAAAATAAAATTCGATTAACCACCCAGCCCTCATACCTGGCCAATAAAACTGATTCAGTTTCTCATTTCTAAAGTCTGCTTCCAGCTATTTGATAGTCAAACACAATCACAGCTCAAGTCACCAGATAAAAGTCTGAGAATGCTTAATCCTTCACTCCATTTATTCATCCACCCTTTGACCTGCCCCCCCTCCCCTCCCCATACCTCTCAGGGAGCAGTGTTGTCTGTAGGCTTCTCTGACAGCCACTAGCTGAGAAAATTTCTCCACCAGCACTTCTTTCTGTGATTCCAGACGAGGCTTCACATCCAGGTTTTGCTCAGCCAAACTGCGATTTGATGCTAACGCCATCTCTCTCTCCAGCTGGATGTTCTGGATCTGATATGGACAAAGACAGGCATCAGACAATTACATTTTCAACATTTTGTTGATGCCACTAAATGCAAAGGCATTATTTTATACTTCTCTGCAAATATTATTCTGTGGGTTGTAGGGTTGGAGATTAGGAAACAGGAAAAAAAGTCCATATACAAGATGACAAAGATCTTGAATAGATCAAAATGCTGCTGCTACTGCTGAAATAAACTGCCGGGAGCTTAATATTCTGTGCAGACCTTTTTCTTGTTTTTTGCTTTCAAATTCTTGTTGGTCCAGTACCTGGGGGTTAATAAAAATATGTGGACCTGCAGCCATATTACAGAAACCTCCTATGTTAAATCTAATGCTAAGAGCTAGCTTTAGGAATCCTATCTTATCTTAGGTTAGAAAATCCAAAATAGTTAAGTCAACTCCGGTTATCAACTTTTATATCTGTTACTGTAACTAACAACCAATGTTATCTTTCTCATCTTATCTACCCAAGCCATTATGTAACCCATTAGCTATTCTCATTGAAACACAAAAAATGGAACAACTAGGGGACTCTCCAAGGGTTCGATTTTGGGTCCAGTTTTATTTTCACTGTATTTGCTTCCATGGTCATCCATTATGGTGTCTCCTTCCATTTTTAAGATGACAATATTCAAATTTACTTACCAGTAAAATGGAAGAAATCAAATATCTTAGCACCAATTCTACCACCAGTGTATCAGCATTGATAGATGAAACAAAACAGTTTAACAATCGGTACTAATGAAAACATTTAAGAACATTAACTATAGTCATGGCCAAAAATAGTGGCACCCCTGCATTTCTATCTCTACAGTTGTATTACACTTTGGAATAATCATCAATAAATCAATCTAATTATGTTTATGTTTTGATTCTCTTACCTACATCTGAGCACTTTAGTATTGACACTGGCTATAAAGCAGTTATAAAGTTAAACATTTTAGCATTCCAGTAGCACCTAATATGCTCTCCCAGCTTAAATCCTCAGTGACACGAGTGAATTGGAGGAGTTTCTGTAGTGTGATAATGTCAGGAAGTGTCTTCAAACTATAGTGCCAATATTGTGACACAAGTACTGTATGTAGGAAATTCAGCTTATTAAGTGTTTCAAAATGTCACAAGATTCCTGTCATTGGTGAGACGAACTGTATCTTGAAGACACTGAAATGAAACCAAATTGGTCCCAACCTCTAAAATACTCTACTACTGTTAACATGTCTCTCCTAAAAAATAAAACAAGGGATCCATTGAAGGGGGCTCAAATTGAATACTGTTGGTCATTCATTTACACTTATAATATATTATGAAAGTTACAGTCATGGCCAAAAATATTGGCACCCCTGCATTTCTGTCAGCTAACGCACCACTTCTCCTAGAAAACTGTTGTAATCACTAATTCTTTGCTGTTCTCATGTTTACTTCTTTTGCTTCCATTGGAACGACACAAAAAGCAGAGAGCAAAAAGCCAAATCTGATACATTCCACACAGAACTCCAAAAATGGTCTGGACAGAATTGACACCTTTTCATCAAAATCATCAGAAATAGTTGTATTTCAAGCATGTGATGCTCCTTTACTTTGTAATGAAACTCGCCTGTAGCAATCAACAGGTGCTGGCAGTATAGAAATTACACTTACAACCAGTTAAAATGGAGAAAGGTTGACTCAACCTTTGGGTCATGTGGACCACACTGAGTATGGAGGAAAAAAAAGAAGAGCAAAAAATTATCTGACGATTTGAGAACCACAACAGTGGAAAAACATGGACAGTCTCAAGGCTACAAGTCCATCTCCAGAGATCTGGCTGTTCCTGTGTCCACTGTACATTCCACACAGAACTCCAAAAATGGTCTGGACAGAATTATTGACACCTTTTCAAAATCATCAAGCATGTGATGCTCCTTTGCTTTGTGTTGTTTCAATGCAAAAAAAGAAATAAATATGAAAAGACCAAAGAATTAGTGGTTACAACAAGTTTTTTGGGGAATCATGGTGCGTGTTCTGACAGAAACACAGAGGTACCGATATTTTTGGCCATGACCATATGTGGTCATTGTGCTGTAGCAGTTAGTGGTTGTGTGATTGAAAGGAGGGCAGTATATCCTATACACAACTGCTGAGCAGGAACACATGGTTTTTATCGGCAGTTCATTTGTATTTCATAACATCGCATCAGAGATTGTTCCCCAGAGAATCCTAAAGTGAAGAAGTTGCTTATTTTTAGCTTATGGAATATTTAAAAGCTATAATTACTCACAGGGCCTCAGTAAGAATCTGTCTCAGGTGTAGTGTATCTTGAGTGTGAACCAGCAGTCAAACAGAGATCATATGATGGCATCTGTTCTCTTACTGTGGCCCCCAGTGACAGACTTTAACACCACTGTGGTTGCAATAAGCAAAGCAAGGTTCTGTAGTTGTTTTTGTTTTATTATTATTGAATCCATGACATGGTAATAACTGAGATTTGTTTTCTCTTTATGTTTAAAACCTGTCTGACTGGTTGTCTGTAGAGTCGTATTGTTTGTCTGAGTGGACTCAATTATAAGCATCCACAGCTAAATTATTATCAATTATTATGGCAGAAATGGTGAACAACATGATGAAAACAAGACCAGGTTGTTTATCATTGTGGCAACACAAAGTATTCATGGATATTAAATTCAAAAGGTTTGGCCCCCTTTTCTGTTTTCACTGTTTTCTTGATATTCAGACTGTGTGGGTAATAAAAATGTACTGCATTTATCAACTAAGGTTAATGTTTTGACATTTTTATGTTAAAGGGTATTTGGTGTTTTGGCACTGCACTTCCCAAAGATTATGTAACATTCAAAATACTCTGGGTTGTCCTGTAGCAGCGTTCTTTTGAACAGGGACAAACCTCAACCAGAAATGTGACCAGGTCTAAGGTACTGATGTTCAGTTTCTGAATCATATATCACTAACGATATGGCTGATGTTATTACCTGACTCTTTGGACTCTTAAAATGTCCAGTAAAAACAGTGGTGATAATTTTGGAGCCCTAGTGTGTGTGTGTGTGTGTGTGTGTGTGTGTGTGTGTGCGTGTGCGCGCGTGCAGGTTTGACAGCCTGAACACAGGTAACCCCCTCAAAATCCCCCTGCATCCCAGGGAGCACTGCTTTTCAGGTGACACACAGGTCCTGAAGGCCCATAAGGTGAATCCCCATAAGGCTGCAGGACCAGATGGTGTGTGTCCCTAGAGTTTTGAAAGCCTGCGGGGATCAACTAGCTAGTGTGTATGCAGACATCTTCAACCTGTCTTTAACTCAAGCAGTAGTCCCTCACATTTTAAAAGAATCCATTATTATACCGGTCCCTAAGATATCAGACACATCCATCCTGAATGACTTTAGGCCAGTGGCGCTCACATCAGTCGCCATGAAGTGCTTAGAGAAACTGGTCCTCAATCACATTAACCACATGGTCCCGGACACTGTAGACCCTCTCAAGGGCCGCTGTCCTGCTTGTTTTCCAACTATCCCTGCCTGACCTGCTGCTGATTACCTGGCTCAGGTGTGTTCAGTCAGTCAGAAGCTGGAAGATACCAACAAATTCAGAAAGTTGGGTCTCTGTCAGAGGTCATGGGTCTTACAGCAGGAAAATGACCCAAAGCAGACCTCAAAAAACACCAGGAATGGTTTCAGACAATGTGCTGGAGAGTTCTGAAGTGGCCAACAATGAGTCCAGATCTAAATCCCATAGAACACCTGTGGAGAAATCTCAAAGCAGCAGTTGGGACCTGGAGCAGTTTGCAAAAGAAGAGTGGCCCAAAATTCTAGTAGAGAGGTGGAAGAAATCACTGATGGTTACAGGAAGTGACTGATTTCACTTATTTTGTCCAAACGGTGTTCTACTGAATGTTAAGTTCAAGGTGCCAATAATCCTGTCCAGTCCATTTTTTGGAGTTCTGTGTGGAATCTATCAGATTTGGCTTTTTTCTGCTATGTGTTGTTCCAATGCAAACAAAATAAACATGAGAATACCAAAGAATTTGTGATTGCAACAATTTTCCTTTTCCAAAATACAGTCAAGCAGACAAGCTACAACCTATTTTTCACCAAAACAAGCTGTCCTCAAAATGACTCCCTGCTCACTGGTCCCACAGCCAACTGCACATACTGTAGAGACCAATTTGTTCAGCGTGAAAAACGGCTTGTTTTGATGAAAATTGGTGTAGCTTGTTGTCAAAGTTACAACAGTAGGAAGGAGGTGTCAAAGATTTCTGCAGACCCCTCACACCCTGGACACAAACAGTTTGAACTTCTCTCCTCTGGACAGCGCTACAGGTCACTGTACGCCAAAACAACCACACACAAGGACAGTTTCTTTCCCCGGGCCGTCACTCTCATTAACAGTTAACCCATGCTGTATGACACAGTGCAATAAACTGTAAATATAACCATTGTGTGTGTGTGTGTGTCTGTGTACGTACACACACACACACACACACACACACACAACCACCTTTTGCTGCAATTACAGCTGCAAGTCTTTTGGGGTAAGTCTCTACCAGTTTTGCACATTTAGACACTGCAGTTTTTGCCCAATCTTCTTTGCAAAATAGCTCCAGTTCAGTCAGATTGGATGGAGAGTGTCTGTGAACAGCAATTTTCAAGTCTTGCCACAGATTCTCAATAGGATTTAGGTCTGGACTTTGACTGGGACATTCTAACACATGAATACGCTTTGACCTAAACCATTCCATTGTAGCTCTAGCTGTATGTTTAGGGTTGTTGTCCTGCTAGTAGGTGAACCTCTGTCCCAGTCCTAAGCCTTTTGCAGCTTCTAACGGGTTTTCTTCCAGGATTGCCCTGTATTTAGCTCCATCCATCTTTCCATCAACTCTGCCAGCTTCCCTGTCTCTGCTGAAAAAAAGCATCCAAACAGCATGATGCTGCCACCGCCATGTTTCACGGTGGGGATGGTGTGTTCAGGTTGATGTGCAGTGTTAGGTTTCCGCCACACATAG